GAGCTGGGGAGGGGCCTGGTGCTTTCCTCCATGGCTGCGGTGCCCCCTGGGATGGTCCAGTACCAGCAGGCGGTTGCTGCCTGGGGGACCCCCACACAGCTCAGGGACTGCTCAGCCCATCAGCAGCTCATGCCTCCCCTGCCACCAGAAGCAGGTAAGGATCAGGCCTCCACCCTTGTGTACATGCCATAGGGGTTTAATTCGGTTTAATTCTCACTAAATTGAAGCAGTGCTTTTAAAAACCCACCATTTCAATTTAGGGAGAACTAAACCGAATTAAACCCCCATGGCATGTACAATCAGCTTGCTTGAATGGTTTCAGTAACTCTAGCAACAGTGGTTAGGTAGAGGAAATGGAGTAATTTTTCTAGGCAGGTTGTATGTACTCTTTGCTTTGCTTTTTAAAATGAAAAACATCATTTCACTCTTGGAATTGCAAGCTGGCAGAAACTTGTGTAGGAGTTACTAGAGCTTCTTCATTACCTTGCTATTTGTATTTAGTTTTCAGTATTATTCAAAACTACAGCAGCCTCCTCCAAATGAAAACATTCCTTAAAAATAAAGGGAAAAAGCACACTAACGGGAGTTTTAATCTGAGGCCATACTATGTAAAAAAAAAAAAACCAAAAAAAAAAAAACCAAAAAAAAAAAAAAACCAACCTACAAGAAATGTCATGACTTAGTTTTTAATAACAACAGTAATAGGAATTGCCAAGTTTTAAACTGGAATTGAAGGGATAAAAGGACTTAAAATGTAACTATGGTCATCTTAACCAATCTTTTCTGTACAGTTTTCTTAGGTGCTGTTCTGAGACAAAAGAACAAACTCCCCCAGAATAAAAAGATCATCGCAACCTTGTTACCTTCTGTTCAAGGATGCTCTTCAGCTTGCCTTATGTAATAATAATCAGGCAACAGTATATGTATGAAAACCTAACAGGTGTCAAAGACATGACCTGCAAGCCATATCTAGCCCTAGGTGTTACCCTTGGGTCTGGAGTTAACCCGCACGCTGTGCGCTGGACTGGTTCCATGTACCAGTGGCCCTACATGCAAGGCCCAGGATCCCTGCTGCATTTGACACCTTCTCCAGCTAGTCTGAGACATGCATTATATGTGGCACCCATCCCGGCTCATCCAGAACATTCCTGGTATGTGGCGTCTGCCCAGCTGGCATGGGATGTGCACTGCACATGGTGCCCATTTCAGCCAGCCTCAGATGAATGCTGCATGCATTGCTGCTCCTAGACAGACACTGCAGGCAGTACAAGTCCCAGATTGGCCAGAATGGGCATCATGTGCAGCACAGTCCTGGACTGGCTAGAGCAAGCTCTGTTGGGGAGCAGGGATGGGGGTCCATGGGCTCTGTCTGGACCATGGGACCAGCCACATGCCATTAATCCAGCTTGTGGACTGGCCCTGCACCACTCATCTGGTGTGATAAATCTGCCCTATAAAAATAACTTCTCTTTTTTTAACCTTCACATTTCTCCCCTTCGCAAAGGCTGAGAGAACAAACTAATTGACAGATGTTTGTAACATTGCTTACTTTGTGCAGCATTGGAAAAGACTCAGATGACATGGTGGTGAACATACTATAAGAATTTGTATCTGATTGGTAAAGAATTTTACCAAAGGTATGAAATTGAGGTCATAACAGCTGGTTCTGTATCTCACAATGCTTTTCATATAAATAATTATTAGTAGTTTACACACTCCAAATCTAGTTACTGACTTTCTTCATACTTTAATTCCTGCTTTTCAAATGTATAAATATCCTTAATTACAGCAGTTTTGAATAAGTATCCTATTAAATAGTAGCTGTCCTACCCCAGAGATGTTTGCTACTAGTGAAAAGGTGCTTGTGTGGATAGGCCCAGGTTCTGCAAGTAGTCTCTTTTAAAATCCAGGTGATTACATTTCTGTATAAATTTATTCACACATTCAAGTATTTGTAGAACTTGAGGCATAGTTTTTTTGAAGTCCTTTAGAATGGAAGGATAAATGTAATTAAAAATGTGAATAGAAACTTTCAGAAAAATGCCAGTTTTCAGTCTTGTACATTTAAGTGCAAAATCTCCATTGCTTGATCTGAAAAATATTAAATGCTAAGTTTTTTAACAGTTATAAATTTAATTTTTTGAACACTGACATATGAGGGTTGCTAAAATGTGTTAATTAGATTCTTGAGGATGCTGTAGTAAACTGTTCTTAGATAGGGAATGGAATACGTGCATGATAGATTTAGAGAGATGTCCAGTTTCTGGCATTATGAAACTAACTGGCTTTCTTACTAATTTAGTTAGTTGGTAACTTTTTGTAATCTTCTTCCCATTAGATTTCCTTGCTGGATAGTTCTTCAACTTTGCCTAATGGAAGGGAAATATTTTTTGACATTATAATGGATTTTAAGTGGCAGCATAAAGCAAACTGGCCCTGTCACAGAATTTGTGTGTGAGAAGTAATACAGTTTATTACATATAACATGACAACTTCTCACATGAATGGACACGTAACAGAGGATTCTGATGGTGAAGCAAAAAATGTGGATCTTACATCTTCTGAGGAGTCACAAAAGCACAGAGAGATGGCTGTTGATTGTCCTGGGGATTTGGGCTCCAGGATGATGCCAATACGACGAAGCACACAGCTAGAGCGGATTCGCCAGCAGCAGGAGGATATGAGGCGCAGACGGGAAGATGAAGGAAAGAAACAAGAACTGGACCTTACTGCTTCAATGAGGCTTAAGAAACTAGCGCAAATTCCTCCCAAAACTGGAATAGATAATCCTATGTTTGACACAGAAGAAGGAGTCATTCTGGAAAGTCCTCATTATACTGTGAAAATACTAGGTAGGTAAAAAGTACAAGTTAATGGGGAAAATACTCCTTTTTATAAAAATACTGTTAGACTACTGACAATATTAAACTGAAGTTATGGGAAGAGCAGCACTGAAAGACAAACTTTTCATCCTATCTTAGTGGAAATAAGCACTTAAATTTCAAACTGCAATCTCAAGCAAAAGTTGAAGAAAGTAAAAATATAATAACATTTTAAATCATTATTTCCATCTGCAGTAGAAATTTAAGATTTGTTTCTTGTTCCCAGCTTTTAAGAGACCTTTGACAAATATGTTTTTTTCCCATGCTTGACTACCTCTAATTCTTCAAACATACATTTGGAGTTGGTTGATTTTAGCATACAAAGGTATAAAGTTTGTCTCGCACCTTAAACTGGTTCTTCTTCCAATTGGTCAAAGCTTCCTGCAGAGTGTATCTAGGAAACGCCCACATAATAACTGCTTCATTATTTGGGCAGTTGAACTCATTCAGTATCAATGGGTTGCTGTTGCTGGCCTGATCCTTTCTGTGCTCTGAGCCTGAGCATTCAAAACAATTAGCACATGGTATATCAAACATCAACCAATTTTTGTTTCAATAGTAGTTAAACATTAAACACTTTGGATATAGCTCAGATTTTGCAGGCAAGAGTTGCCTGTGGTCTCATTTTATCATGTAGTTTTTCTTAACTTTTAAAGTGCGTCCTGTGTGCAACTTTTGTTCCTAGTTAACTAGTCCTGTAGTTGACTGTCACATTGTCAAGGCTGACTTTCTTCCAGGTTTTCTTCACACTTTTGCATTGGAAATAAAATCTTGCCTTAATAAGTTTATTTCTTGTTAAATGAAAACTGTTTCTAAATTACTAGGTGCTTTTTTTCAGTTTGAAATATTTGGGAAGCTTTATAATATATAGCCCATCACATCATGTCTCACTCCAAAATTTATCTGTTACATTCATATATTTTGAGCTGTTCAGATGTTCTTGCTGATGTGTACATCTGTAGGATAGAGGTCCACTGATAAATCAGTCCGATATTGGATTGGAACCAATATAAAGAAAATTGACTATATCAGAAATCAGTCTGATGTGGCCAATAAATGCTCGTACGTGCACGAGGCCACAGTGCAGCACACAGGCAGCGAGGAGCATAGCCCGAAAGCTTGGGGTGAGGGAGGGAGTGAGGCAGGGGCTGGGGCGGGTGCTGCCCAGCCGGGGCAAGGCGGGGTGCAGGACAGAGCTGCGACTCATCTGGGAAGTGCGGGGCCAATTGGAGCAGCTCCCACTGCTGCATGCACTCTGGGAGGGCACAGGGTGTGCCCCTGGATTTGCGTGGGGTGGAGCAGGATAGGACGGGGGGGTGCCCCCGGATCTGCATGGGAGGGGCAGGGGGGCTGCAGCTGTGGGCTGGGGTTGGAGTTACGCCAGGCTCTTCCTGGTGCGTGGGGGCTGTGCTTCCAATGCGTGGGGGTGCTGGGCCGTGCTGCACTTGGGACAGGCAGCGGGGAGAGAGGGCATAGGGGGCTACAGCAAAATTTGGGGTGACTGCAACCCCCCTGTAGCCCCCCTCCCAGCGTTGCCACCACCCGCCCCGAGTGCAACGCGGTGCCCCCCCTGCCCCTCCCAGGAAGAGCCTGACGTGGTCCCCGGGGCCAGCCCACAGCTGCAGCCCACCCCACGCAGATCCAGGAGCAGTCCACCCCTGTGCCCTCCCAGGGTGCGTGCAGCGGCGGGAGCCTCCCCACCCCCGAGGCCCCCTGGATAAGCCGAAGCTCTGTCCCACCCTGCCCCATCTGTGCAGTACCTACCCCAGCCCCACTCCCTCCCTCACCGCAGGGTGGCATTGATCTGCCCCCACATCCCTTCCCTCTCCCCCTCCACCACAACAGACACAGCTGAACACAGTACCAGTTGGACACAGCTATGTCGGAAATCCAATTGGCATAGGCCAATATGCCTCCTTAAAAATCAGCTATCTGTATCAGTCTCCAAAATCTCTATCGGTGCACCCCTACTATAGGATGGTATCTCTGATGTAATGTACTAAGGAGTTAGAAGCCTTTTTTTGCTGGTAGTGCAGAGATTAGAGCATCTGCCACTCCAGTAGCCAGGCTTTAAGAGGAACAGATCCACAGGGCTAGAACAAGGGTTCCTCAATCTCTGAGCTGTGGAACTATGACATCTGACCCCTGGGGCTACCAGCAGGTAGGGGAGTTTGGCAGTGGGGAAGCAGTGACAGTTCATACTGCCATTCCTCCCCCACTGCCAAATTTCCAAGCCAGGCCACATGCCTTCCACCCCTGTCAGTCCCCCACGTGGCTGGATTGGGACTGGGCTGTGCCCTACCCTTCCATGCCCCCCCCAGGCAGCTAGACTGGGGCACCCCCTCCCCTTATGCAGCTGAATTGAGGCTGGACTGCCTCCTTCCCCCTTTTGTGTGGCTGAATGGGGCCCTGCCATGCCTGACCTGAGCACTGTATCAGGACCACTATCTGGATTAGGCCCTCAGAGAGATCAAGCAGTGCCCATCTGGCCCACTTGGCAAAAAGGTTGAACACCACTGGACTAGAATAATGACCTCCCACAGGGTTTTACCCACTTCTAGTGCGCGCGCGCGCTCTCTCTCTCTCTCTCTCTCTCTCTCTCTCTCTCATCTTTTAAGGGTGAGCTCACTTAAATTTCACACACATCCCAGACTTTAATTAGAAGGATACAGCAAAGGTTTATTTTACAGTTTATAAAGTATGATCATGTCCTCATTCATATTCCTTTCAGATGACAAATTGCTTTATTTCAAACACTCTCTACATAAGCAGCCCCTGTATTTCAGATGCTGCCTATTTCACTATCCACTTTTAAGCAGAGTTCAGTAACCTTAATTTGGACTTCAATTAAAATAGTGCCAGATGAGGAAGGATTATTTTCCTATGTAGTTTGTAAAGCATGTAATTCAATGAGACTTCAGTCTGTACTGGGACCTTTGGGCACTTTATTAATATTTAATTACAGGTGAAGCTAGGGACACTGCCCATTATGAACCTTATCCAACACTCCTGTTTTGTGAAAACAGAGATTTATAACTTTGCAGGACTTTAATTGCTTGGGCTTAAATTTTCCATGCTGGCTGATTGCGTCAACTGTTTATTTCTTCTTTTTTTTTAATTTTCATTTCAACCCAGATGGCTTTACTGTTAGAAAGAGATGGGCAAAAATATCTGGATTATGTGCAAATTCAGAATGCTCTCAGGCTCTTATATTTATGTACTAAGGACTTGAAATTTGGCAAGGGATGAAATTTGGGCCAAGGCTTCCCCATATCTAAACATCACCCAAACATGGCCAAATGTATTAGCCTTTGAAAAACAGTAGTTCACACCTGCTTAGTAGAGACTTGCTAGAATTTAACAGCTAAAGTCTGTAATGAGCACGCTTCATCCCCTTAAGCAGGCCAAGTTCTTTGGGTAGATGTGATATCTTTTATTATCCCCTTAAGGTTATTTTTAAATTTTATTAACATTATTATTAAAATATCACAATTAATATATAAATAGATATTAATTACATATTATTACAATATGATTAAAATATATTATTTTAAAAGATTATTATCTTTTATCATCCCCTTAAGGCACCTACACTGGTACTGGAGGGGAGGAGAGAAAAACTGGCAGTTGGAAGGGGAGCCTGGGACTAGATAGGCAAGTACACTGAGCTATATGGAAGAGCTGGTTGAGATTGAATGAGCAGAGATTGGGAAGGAGCTGAGGGACATGAGGTCACTTGACACTGGACACAGAACTAGAGACAGACTGAGATTTAGCTGGACAAGGAAACAGACTAGGAAACAGTGGGAAAGAATAGGGGAAGGAGACGGAGACACCATCCTGAAAAGGAGTCAGCATAGGGGTAAAACTCAGACTGGCTGATAAGGAAATTTGGACAAGGTATTGTGAGAAAAGAGGTACGGTAAGGTGCAGGGAGATGAGAAACTGGGATTAGGTCTTTGGAATCTTGGGATTCCAAAGAGGAAATTGAGCAGATGAAAAATGAGACCAGTTAGGCAAAGGTGACAAAAACTAGTTGGAAAAACCTGAGGCTGACATTGGGTTTGAATTGGCCAGGAGAAAAGAACTGAGATACGGAGCCAAGAATAAGGAAGAGATAGGACTGAGACAGGAATGGGGTCAGCAAGTTGATCTTGAAGAGAAGTGGACAGAAGTTTATACCCATTAGAACAAACCCCTCCTATGCCTTGAGTGGAACCCAAGATTCTTGCACTTCACCATTCTTTGCTGTCAGCAAGTACGTATGAAATCCACTGGCAAAGTGTCTCTCATGCTCTTATAGTACTGGTTCACCAAAGTATTCGAATACCATACTGATGAGCCCCCAGACCAGTGGTGCTCAACTTTTTGGGCCCATGTACCAGGTGAGTCACGTGGGACCTGATCCACAGGCCAGATTGAGATCTGCACACTAAAATAAACTCCTGGGGCCTAACAACACCCTATTCCTGTCCCACACACTGGGATTAGGCCCTGGGAGCCTGGTGCCACCCCCTCACACCCCTGTGTACTGGGATTGGGCCCTGGGATCCCAGTGCTACCCCCTCCCACCCCTGTATGCCAGGATTGGGCCTTGGGGGCCTGGCACCACCCCTCTGTGTTGGGATTGGGGCCTGGGAGCCTGGCACTGTCTCCGCATGCTGAGATTAAGGTCTGGGGCCCAGTGCTACCCCCACCTGGCCCCACACGCTGGGATTGTACCCCCAATCTAGCACATTGGGCTTGGGACACCCCATAAATCTGGAAGTTTAGCAGCAGTGAAGTGGTGCAACTGCTCCTCTGCTACCAAATTTCCAGACCACAGGCTGGGAGGTTGAACACTCTTGCCCTAGACAAGCCTGTGTAAATGTAACAAAGACCGCACTGTTCTGCCTTGGCGTTCTTTTGCTATAGTAACAACTTGTTTCAAATTGCCAAAATACAAGTGGAAAAACAAAAGATGTTAAAAA